ATAGTAATACATATAATATTTATATTTTTCGTTCACGATACGAAACGCCCTCTTTCATATTTGGAGGTTAGGTGTCTTTTTAATGCAATGGCGATTTTATGTGTTTACGTTGAAATGTGTGTAGATTATATCAACCTATGTGTATGTAAGTTAGTTTAGTTCCGTTCAGTTCGGTTCAAACGTCCTCTAACGTCGTTCAATCTTGTTTTATGTTACTCTAGCGACATGAAAATATAAAAATCCGTTTTGCAGTATTTAATCTAAACGAATATGAAGAAAGATGAAATTAAAAATTTAATTTGATTTACGACTGGGCATATTTTAATTTTTTATAATTAAACATTAGCTTTTGATAATCGCTAATCAAAACCAGTGATTAACGCACGATTTATCACTCTGATTTATCGCCGATTGCGGAATCATCTGCTCTTTCTCTATAATCGCAATAAAGCCCATTTGATCCACGATTTCCCTGTCATATATGATTAATCGCGATTTTACGCTAATTTTTTCGAAAATTGGTAAGATCATCATGATTTGCATGATATGGGAGCATTGAACTAGTAATGACAATGCATACTTTCCATATACATGCATATGGAACGATAATATAGGATTGATGAGCAGGGCTGTAACTTGTTTTTTTCTTTAAACAATATTTATTGGTGGCACTAACATTAATATTTATAGAGCAAATAGAGCTGTACGTGCTCGAGTAACAGTGTGAAAGTCTTCTTCATCAAACAAAATCAGATGCCTGATTTCAGTATTGTTTTTTTCTGGATGAGCAAATATTGTTGGGTTTTGAAGAGATATTTTCTAACGATAAACGTAATCGATCATATAAGCACGACCGATAGTACAATCACATTCGAATATAAGTGTCAAGCGAATGATTATTTGATTAAGTTTTTGAATGAATAATTATATTCGTATGACCTATTCTAATGCTACAATCTATTCTATGGTTGGCTTTTTCTAGTATTTTTACCTCTAAATTTTGGGATATTTTGGAAACCTTTCAGTTATTTTCTCGATTAGTATTGTCATATTCGACAGAAAAAATCACATTTATCGTTGATCAAAATTATATCTTTCTATTTATTGAAATTTTACTCAAAAAAATGTTATTGTGAATTCTGTATGGATTCGTATTTTATTTAATACATATAAAGTCCATAGTAGAGTTCTTTCAAATTTATATTTGACTTCAATATTGTGATGATTTCTGATAGAACGAGCACTGGCAAAGATGAAGTTGTGCTTTAATCAATTTCTTTTATCAGCGATCTCATTTGTTTCATAGAAAATACATGAGTATATATATAGGCAGCAAAGCGACAACTAATAGATCAAAACCAAAAACGATATCACACAAGAGTACAAGTTTGGAGAGAAAATACAAACTAACGATAAGATGTGATAACAGAAAAGCTCAGCCGTATACATTAGAAACAGATATTCTAGAAAGTGAGTTCTGAAATTGATCTTCTTTTCATTCATATTCGTATCCATATTATATAGTATTTAATATTCTAAAGAAGAATTTTCATGCCAACAAAGAAAGTATGTCTTGAAATATATTTGCCACTATTTGAGTGGATATAAACTTTATTTTCATTGTTTTATTCATTCTTCGTTTAAATGCATAATGCAACATACGTCATATTTTGATTTTTACGCGTACACAATAATACACAATGCCATCTGTAGCATTTTCACACAAATTCTGTACACAATCTTAGCAATTAATTTTGAACCCATCTCCTGCACTCACCCTACCAACTTCGCCTAAATAGTCTTCAAAATATATTTTCAGTTTTGAGAATTCTTTCTCGAATGCTGAGTCACTCTTTATTGTCCTTACCTATAATCAACAAACTTGGCTTTTTCTGTTTTAAATCAACAACAAAAATACTCTACAACGACACATTTTTCGAGCATGCAAAGTTTAAAGCAGTTCTCATGATGCGAATGTTTATATTCTGCATGTGTTATATTACGTCATTAAGTGTATGAAGACCTTTTAAGCTGCAGTTTTTATTTAGCTTTTAACAGTAGCAGATTGTAGTGAAACATACCGTATTAATATCTATATGATGCCATACAATTACGAAATGGCATAATCATGTTAGATTTGTAAATATACAAATATTATTAATGCAATTTTAATAAATTTTATCTATATCGAATCGGAAACTAATTTTATGTTATATAATATCTTCTTTTGTTGACTAGGGCAATTGGCAATAAAAAAAGTTTTCCGTTTGGTCACTGCATACAAAGAAAATTTCTGGAAACGAGACAATACATCAATTTAACATGTCGATAATAGAATATATACCATTTAATTTCTTCCGCATGATATCAATTTCACCAGGTTTCTACGTTCTTATTTTAGTCGTTTTTCTTGCATATAAATTACTATTGTGTCCAGAAAGACCTTTACATTTAACAGGAGATTGGCAAGACTCTCAGGTTGTTCTCCATTGGTGTACTTCATCAAGGGCACACACCTATCAAGTTTATTACAGATCCAACAAAAATGCAACCGTCAAGTGGAAATCTATACCGAACTTACATTTGAATACATGCTCTCTTACTATAGTTAATGGCATCGCCTACGACATATACGTTGTGGCACAAAACTCCTATGGATTAAGTTTTAGTTCGGTCGTTCTTAACGGACGTTCTCGTGCTTCGCCACCTACAAATCTCAATGTTTCAGCTAACTCAGGAGATAATACCGTCTTTTTACACTGGACCCCAGTCGTGAATTGTAAAGGTTATATTATTGAAAGGAGAGCATATTCACTTTCAAAAAGTACATTTTCTATTATTAAAAAACTGAACGACCCTTCATACAAAACATTTGAAGACAATACTGCATTTTTTGGTATCAAATATTATTATGTAGTTATCTCACTTGATGAAGCTGGTGAAAGCAGTTGCTCAAATGAAGCTACTATGTATCTACGTGCTCCAGCACCCAAAAATGTTGCTGTAAGGCTTAACAATGACAAAACTGATACAATTTCATTGCAATGGATGTTGGTACCAAAAGTCGAGGGATATATCATTAAACGAGCGACAGGATCACCCAATAGTGCATATTTTTCCATCGGAATACTGTATGATTCATCAGCCACAAATTTCGATGACAGTTCATTCAAATTTGGTGTTACATACTATTATACTGTCACATCAATCGATAAAGCTGGTGATGCTGATGAGTCACCGGCTGTCTCCATCTGTCCTCGTTCTTATGCACCTACGAATATTGTTATTATATATGAACAGACAAACAATCTCGTTGCTTTGCAATGGAAACCAGTAGTGAATGGTAATGGCTATATTGTGAAGCGAGCAGCAGGTTCATTGAATGACACCTTTTTTATTATCGATAAAATTAATGATCCGGCAATCACAACAAGCAAAGATATTTCATTCGTATTTGGAACAAAATATTATTATGTAGTCGCTTCCTTTGATGAACTTGGTGAAAGTAATCAGTCAGATTCAGTTAGTGTGGTATGTCCACGTGCTCCGGCGCCAGCCGATCCAACGTGTTCTTACACGGAGAATGCTGATAATTGCATCGTTTTGCAGTGGAAACCAGTATTGAATAGTAAAGGCTATTTTGTTAAACGAGCACACATCACAAATAGTTCTGGAGTTACAGGAAGGTGAGACAAAAGCTATTTTCACATTCAACGCAGAGATATTCTTCGCGGTTGGAAATCCACCGCTGCCGCACCAGATTTAGTCCGCTTTCGCCGAATTTTCTTTCTACTGACGTCTATTGTCGCCGATGTTTAACTTCGCCTAATGAAATTTTCACCGAATGAATTTTATACCCGAAAAATGTCCGATGAAATATAATACATAACACATCTAAAACTTTATTGTAATTAAGTAGTTTATTGAAAAATTGATTTGGTTATTATCTGAGTTGGTAACCATCTGACATGGAAGCCGTCTGATATAGTAGCTATCTGACTCGGTAACCATCTCATTTGGTGGTTATCTGATGTGGTAGGATGTGAGTGTGGTGTCGGGTGTGGGCATGGACGTGGTTGGTGAAGAGAATAAATACCAATTGCCACCCTCACACCTACACCCGCTACCAAGTCAGATGATTACTAAGTTAGATGGTTACCATGTCAGATGGGTACCAAATCAGATGGTTACCAACTCAAATGGTTGCAAAGTTAGATGATAATTAATTATAATAAAATGTTTACTATACCATGGATAGTATTGAATTTGATAACTCTCGATGATAAATGCATTCGGCGAAGTTCAAGTCGGCGAAAACAAACGTCAGCGAAAAACGTTTCGGCGAAAAAGAAATTTACCCCCACATCCACACCCGCTACCGCAACGCTATAAAGTGTGGTCTAAAGAAAGTATTCTGTCCTATAGTCAAAGAATATGCTTCTGGATTATAGAGTTAGTATCGATTACTATGTCGAGTATAAGCGCATTATAGAATCGATAACAATCATAAACCCATTAGTGCTTCAATAGTGTCGCGGATACATACAATGAGTAAGCAAAAGAGACTGGAAAACGGGTCCGGGTCATTTGGCCGACAATCACTTGGCCGACACATCACTTGACCGACACCATTTCGCCGACAAATTGTTTGGCCGACATGTACACTTCACCGACAACTCATTTGGCCGACAAATATTTGAAGTAAAATAAAATGAAATTTCTTGAAAATATTGCGTCAGAAAATCTTTTTATCAAAAGTCACATTTGTTTACAATGAAAGATTATGGGCAATGCCCAGAAGAAAATCGAACTTATCTCACGGGAAACAGTTTGTTAGCGGGAGACTTGTTTTAACTGATAAAAAATCGTCGTCTGATTTTATTTTGAAAAATGTTCACTATTTATAGGTGAATGAGTGGGAAAAATCCACGCAATATTTTCAAGAAATTTCAATTTTTTTGATCTCAAATATTTGTCGGCCAAATGAGTTGTCGGCGAAGTGTACATGTCGGCCAAACAATTTGTCGGCGAAGTGGTGTCGGTTAAGTGATGAGTCGGCCAAGTGAACGCGACCCCTACTTTTATTTTTACATGGGAAGGTGTAATGTTGCTACTCAATGCATAATACTCACACATTGTATAATAGTTTCACTTAACACATTGTTTTATTATAAAACTCATTAGAATATGAATTGAACGAAATTTTTCGTTATAAAAAAGTGCATAAACGTTGTAACTAGTGTTGTCTTAATGCCTGTTTTTTTCTAGCCATTCATCTAAGGGTAGTCAAAAGTACTAGCAGTGACATTTATACGTATACTATATAGCCATGCTTCAGAGACTTTCTTTATAATGATCTGATAAAGATAAGAATATTCATTTTTTCCATGTTGTTTAATCATACTACAAGAAATGTCATAATCATAAGATTTCTTTAAGATCGAGACTGCTTACATAGATCTCACTAATGCGAAGGCTGATAAGTATTTTCTGAGTAGCATTTCATATAGACTAGACAGAAACCTGGAGTTCGAATCAACGGAAAAAAAGACGAAAATGTGTCTAACCCTATATCATACACTTTTCTACCATTGACTTATAAAGTATTTCTCAAATACTTTTTATGAAAAAGGAACAAGAAGACACATATAAGTGAGCTTCTCTCACAATAATTAATACAAAAATCTTTTTCGATTTTCGACGAAAGTACAATTCAATCTTCTCAATCTTCAACACTTTGTCGATCTTCGATTAATGTTATGAATTTGTATTTGATCATTGAAAATAGATGTAAACAGTGCACCATATATGTTCGTTCGCGAAAAGGTGAACTGAGAAATCTTAGAGAAAAAAAAATCAGAAAATCTTATAGTATAGAAATTAATGTATAATGATTTGTCATTCTAAGTTGTATAGACCGCATTTCTCTACCTTCTTTTTATCAAAAAAATATTTGAACATTAATTACTCGCCTTTTTTTTAAAAGGATTATTAGAATAATCGTGACACACAGAAGCAAAACAAGTCTTGCCAAAATTTTATCATTATGATCGTAATGGAGGTATGATTAAATGACATCAATCGAGAATCTTTTTTCTCTAGTACATTACGGATAGAAAAAGTTTTGTTAAGTTTCCAGCGTGGTTTGAAAGTCTTAGTGCCATTGCCCCTATTTTTAGATATCCCTAAGTCATATGCAAAAAGATGGTAATGGTACTCTTACTGCGTCGCATACGAGTTTTCTCTAAATACAACATTCTGAATAAACATAACACTAATGTGTAGCAGGGAAATAAATGCAAAATAGCAATCACGCCACTTCTAAAAATAATTACTTATTAAAAAAAGTTAAAAGCGTTATGCACGCAGTTTATATGAACCAATATTCAAGGACAACGATCAAAATTTTATTTGATTTATCGATGATCATATTATTCGATAAAGCGTGTCTTGCCTAGCATAAACCAAGAATCTCCATATAGAATAAGTGATTGTTGCATTGGCAACCTGTCTTCACAAGATCAAAATTCTTAGAGTTGTTTGTGATATATGAAAATAAAATAAACTTTCAGCGTAAGAAATACTAAGCATTCTATACCAGAAAAGGCGAACCTAATAAAAAATACATGCTATTAAAAAGCATGAGCGTATAACACATGTGAAATATGATGGGAATAGAATATATATTGCTGAAAGCTTAACAATATGATATCGTATAAAGTCATCATATAATAACATGATATTGGCGCTTGTAGTTTTATCACGCACTGAAAGAACAAAGGAGATGCATCCGTTGACAAAGAATAAAATAGACTGTTTTCATTAATGATAGAATAATGCTGTCAAGTACTGTAGATTTCTCGAATAATTTATTTTTTCAATTAAGAAATCTTCCATCGCTGCCACAATAGACATCTATGATCCAACGGTATTAGCAACATGATAATTGACAGAGACGATGACATTTCTAATGCATTTCATTTCTGAGTCGATGACTTTTTTCATGGTGGCCAAAAGTATTGTTGAAGTACACGAGATCGTTCATAACGTGAATGTATGTTACAGACGAAACTAAAGAGTTCGTCTTCTTCTGTTCGAAAGTATATGATTTCTATTGTAAATGGGAGAGCAGCTCAGAATTCAGTGGCGTTGGCAGAAAATTGAGCATCAATGTTAATACGCAGTGCTCTAGTTTTGTTGAATAATTAAGGAAAGATATGGCAAGTGAAGAAAAAATTCTTTTTCTTTCATGATCTTGTAATTCTTTTGAGATCTACGGTCGTGACAGTTCGAAAGTAAAGACTTCTTCATCACGCAATACATAAAACTGTAACAAAACCTCTCACACACATACATTAGTATATTCACAAATCAGAATTCAGAAGATCATTTTCTCTTTCTCTTTAGATATCCGAACGAAAGAAGAAGCTGTCCATGATGATCACTTTCTTTAGTACTACTACCCTGCCATTCCATTATCAGAATAAAAGAAATAAGAGAATTTTCTAATAAGACATTTATAAGTATAATCATATAGGCGATTGAAAAGACAAGTTATAGCTATATATCATGTTTGGTCATGAAGTCTTCGATTTCGACATATCATATTATTAAATAATAATTCAAATAAAAGATTAAAGAAAAAAAGCTTTATCCAGACGCAAACTCAGAAAATTGCGCGATATAAATCGTCGGCATCTATAAAGGGTGGACAATAAGTCCTGACTCGCTTAGTGTATAGCGTTTTTTTACAGTTTACTTTATCGGGCAAGGTTGATATTTATAGTATGTATACCACTTACAGTTATTATGACTAGTATGTGGTTAGTCAGGGTGTTGGGGAGCGTTAAGCGAGAAGAACTTTGCGTCAGGTTGGCCTTCTGACCAGAGCTACATCTAGCAATAGATGTAGGAAAAACATCGGGCTTATCGAAACTGTCCTTGGACAGCACCCCACACTGCAAGGTAGCCGAAAGGCAGGAGTATTCTTCTTCTTCTTCTTCTTCTAGTATGTATACTTCGTTTGTCCATACATCACATGTTGGAATCTCAGGTTTCTGATAAAAAGCAGAATACCAGTATTTCAAATTTCACAGAGAAAAAACATAATCTGATCACAGTGTTTTATTCGTCATGTTCGAAGAAAAACTAATTCAATAAAGCATCTTGACTAGGAAACGTCCAGAATAAAACAATGAAAGTAAGTGCTAATGATCATGTACTTGTTCTCCATCATTATCGATAATTTTTATCTCTCTTTAATGTTCTGCTAACTTTTTTTAACGACTGCATGCCTTTTCAACAATGGTGGACTTCCGGAATTTTGAAGAAATGTTGAAAAATCGGAAGCTTGTTATCAAGGATTCAATTTTTTCGAGCCCAAGACAATCGAGTGAATTTCTTTCTCATCTTATGAAACATTCGACATGATATCGAGTATAAAATCTATTTAACTGTGATTTCAAATAAAAGATCCACGTAAATTTAAATTGATTAATTTTAAAACGAACTGCTAATCGACAGAAGATTAAAGAAGGTTAAAAAGTAAGATTCTATCACGAACACTCATCGAGAAGGACGTTGCTCTTTCTAAACGTTATTTCTCTGTCCTTTTTAGAGACGGATGTGCGTTCTGATTGAAAGAAAATAAATTCCTAATTTTTTTAGATGCATTCCTGCGTGGAAAAACA